ATTCCTGCCATTCACAGATTGTTTTTTAAAGTCAAAAGTATATTAATGATTGCAGGAAAGAATAGCTGAGAACTAAGAAGCTCCAGACTTTGAATATATTTAGCAAATGCAGCACATACATCACTCTAGTGCAGCAATCCTTTTGCTTTCTCTCTGCTTTTGCAGGCTCATGACCTGCTAGATCTATAGTGGCCACACTTACTCTTTTAAAGTAGCATCTGGCGTTTGGTAGTCATGTGGCACTATTTAGTATAACCGATGAAAAACACCACTTTCCATCAAGTAGAAGTGCACTATGTGCCAGATGCTTCAATACTTTTTTTTTTTTTGTGTGTGTGTGTGAAAACGGGAAGACAGGCATGGCTTGATAGGGAGTACAGTTCAGCTCTGTTCCCGTAACAAAATCAGCTGGACCAGAAGCCCACTCCCCTTTCAAACTTAAGTCTCTCTGTGACTCTCAGCCCTCCCGCAGTACCCCATTAAACAGATGTGCCTTGTAGTGTGGCTTTAAGGTCAATAGATTTGAGATTTTGTAGACCATGTAGTGATACAATGCATGAAAACGGTCAGGAACATATGTGCATTTGTTCTAGGTCTCTTAAATTAATTGTGCACCTTTTCAGAATGAGCGGTACACCCATTATTGACTGCATGATATTTCATAACCTGATATCCAGATTATTTTAGGGCAGTTCACTCCTTACCATTATTATTCAATTAGTTTAAGACTCAAGCATTGTCCATGACAATTTCATCTAATGTTGGAAGTAAATGACAACCGTAATAAAGCTTTACCATTTCCTACTCAGGGTGTTTTGTGAATTTCTTTTATTAGATTTGTAATGTAATCATTATAAACATAGGTTTACAGTAAGGAGTGGAGACCAAAAAAACCCTGTTGTTCGCTAGAGATGGAACGTGTCTAGTCATCGCTTACCAAGAACAAAGGACAGAATATGAGCCTTATTTGTAAAGATTTTATCTTTTCATAGTGGCACTTTCGATGTGTTACTGCTAGCTGAGGGAATTACATTTTGTGTATAATTTTGTTTATACTCAGTTTGAGTAGAGTACTTTTTTCTGTTTTTGTATTTTTAAAGCCAATTGCATACTTGTTACCAAGGCCAGGTAGAAGGACATGGGACTGACTGTATGGGCGGAAACCTCTTTCCCAAGCTGTGCAGTGGTAATATTTGACTGCTCTTGCAACCTCCAGCACTGCAATAGCGATTGCTTTGTTTGTGTTTATCCCTCTTCCTTTAGCAGGGGGCTTGTTGGATTTGCGAGGCTACTGACCCACTGCCAGTGTTCCAGCTTATTCCTGCCCTATCCAATCCCATCCACATGAGTGTAAAAGGAGATTCCATTGAGCTGAGCTTTGCCGAGTACAAGCAGTGTGCACTCCCCAGAAAGTACTTCTGTGCTTCTCCTCCACAATTCATTACGACTAAATTGGGTTTGCTGGGGTTGGGGCCCTCTGCATCAGAATAGGGGGGTGACAGATGAAAGGGACGGGGTCCTAGAAGTGCCTGTATTTTTTATTAACTCCAGTGTAGCACATGTTCAGTCTGATCAGAAAAAGCAGGTCTCTTTATTGCTTCAATAGCGAGCGAGGCCTGAATCAAAACCTGAATTCTGGGAAAGTTTGGATCTGCAGCCAAATCTTGTAAGTTAGGCCACACACCAGCACTGATTTCCAACCTGTAGCTCCTCAACTACAAATGACATCTTCATAGACATACTAGAATGCACCACATCCTAGTAACAATGGGGGCAGTTGTCTGGGAAGATAAAATGACCATTCAAAAACTAAATCTGAAAAACACAGACAAACGTGACGGGGGCAGTGACGTTGCTAGAATCAGACTTCACAAAACTGGCGGCATACTGTGAATGTCAGCTCTCTCGTTGAGCCCTTCAAAATACTGTTGCCTTACTGTAACCTAGATTTGGCTCCTTTGATAAATATAATCAGGTTAAGCTTCTTACATGGATGTTTTATATTCTAAATCTATTTAATTCTGCATGGCTCTCTGCTACTCCATTTGATGACAAAGTAGCTCTCTGGCTGTCCAAGGCTTACCGCCTGCTCCGCTGTACAGTTTTAAGAATGGGTGATATGAGAAGGGAAAAACAATCTCATAATTTTGTTTAGTCTGACAGGATATCTCTCTGTGTTACAGTTATTATAAACTGGTGA